TGTTTCTAAGAATTGTATGGGTTTTGATGCTATATAAATGCATTTTACAGCTAATTTTCTAACATTTGTTGTTTGGTATATACTAATACAATTGATTTTTTTAAGTTGCTGACCTCGTATCCTGTGATCTTAATAAAGTCTTTATTAGTTTCTAGTAACTTTTTTTGGAGACCCTCCCCTAAGATTTTGTATTTGCACAGTTTTCGTATCTATTAATAAGGATAGATCTACTTCTTTGTTCCCAGTCATTTTGCCTTTAAATTCTTCTTGCCTTATCGCACTGGCTAGCACCTCCAGCATAACGCTGAATAAGAAGGAACATTCTTGCCTGCGCCTAACATAGTTAGCATTTCCAGTAATCTTCATTCCTTTCTGTAGATTCGTGTTTCCTTCTGGTGCAATTCCTATAGCATTTCTTGCAGTGAAATTGTCCTAATTATCAGTGTCTTAAGAAATCACTCAAAAGTGTGGTGCCTGAAACCAATCACGATCATTTATTATTTCTTTTTTTTTTAATTTTTTTAAATGTTTTTATTTATTTCTAGGGGAGAGAGAGAGAGACAGCGTGAGCAGGGGAGGGTCAGAGAGAGAGGGAGTCACAGACTGAAACAGGCTCCAGGCTCTGAGCTGGCAGTCAGCACAGAGCCCGACGCGGGGCTCTAACCCACGAACCGCGAGATCATGACCTGAGCGAAAGTCGGACGCTTAACCGACTAAGCCACCCAGGCTCCCCACGATCGCTTATTATTTCTTACGGGTCAGTAATTCACGGGCACCTTGGCTGAGTAGTTCTGGCTCAGCGTGTCTTGAGGCTGCAGTCGAGGAGGCAGCCTGGGGTCAGTCATCCGGACCTGGAGCACCAGCTTGATACTCCCGTCCGGCTGTATCAGGTTCCTGCCGTCACTGTGACATATTACCGCAAACCTGGTGGCTTGAGACAGCAGGTGCTCATTCTTTCGTGGTCCTGGAGGCCATACGCTCCCTGGGCTCAAGGCAAGGTGTCAGCAAGGCCCTCAGGGAGAATCCGTCCCTCATCTGTCCCACCGTCCAGCATTCAGCCCGGACCCGCGGCGCCACCCCTCCCATGTCTGCCTCTGCGGCCGCACACCCCTCCTGGGTGCTCACACATCTCCCTCTGCCCGCCTCTTGTGGGGGTACATGGACTGCAGGGAGGGGTGCATGGGATTGTCCTGTGAGGTGGCATGCTTCCCCTCCGCCCGCCTTGGCGGCTTTTAGAACACCGATTTCCAGCAGCTTCACTGGGATGGATTGAAGCGTGGGTTTACTTTATGTTATTTAATGCAGATTAGGCTCAGTCATCATGTACCATTTCTAGACTTTGCCTATAATTGTGGGCTGTGTTTTCCCCAAATTTGGGGGGGAAATTAGACATTTTTCCCTAATTTTGGGGCCCGTTCTCCTTCTCCTTCTCAGGGACTCTAAGCACACTAAGCCATCTGATACCGTCCCGCAGGCCCTTGAGGTTTTGCTCTCTTTTAATGTAACAGCTTCACGGAGATAGAATCCATGTCATCCAGTTCACCTGTTTGAGCTGTGAAATTTGACGGTCTTCAGCGCAGCCATCGCCACGCCCTCCTGTGTCAGGACGTCCCTGGCCTCCCCAAAGAAACCCTCCCAGCAGTTACTTCCCAACTCCCCCCCAAGCCCACAACCCCAGGAGACCACGAATCTACTTCTTGTCTCTATGGATTTCTTCTTCTGGGCATTTCACTTCCATGAACTCGTGTGATTTACCGTCCACTGCGAATGGCTTGTTCACGGAGCACGTGTTCATGCCGCAGCCACAGTGTGCCGTGGGCCAGCGCCACCTCCCTCGCGTGGCCACGCATTCCAGCGCACAGATGCGCGGCGCTCTGCTCTCCTGCCCACCCACCGGACAGCACTGGGGTTTGCTTTCCCTTTCGGGCGATCATGAATGATGCTGCCATGCACGTTTATGTACAAGTTTCTGTCTGGCCACGTTTTTATTTTTCTTGGGTCCCTGCGCAGGGACGGGATCACTGGGTCATGGGGTGACTTGTGTAACCTTGAGGACCTGCCAGACTGTTCCCGCCAGTGGCTATGCCTCCTCTCATCCCCTGCGGGGGGACTCTGTGTGACGGCTCTGATCTCCCACACCTTCCTGACACTTGTTATTATCTGCCTGTTTGATTACAGCCATCCTGGGGGGTGACGCGGTATCTCAGTGGTTTGGGTTTGTGTTTCCTGACTCCTGACCTTGCTAAGCGACACCTAATGTGCCCACGGTGCACTTGTGCAGCTCACACAGTTCCACCGACCACTCCATTTCCTCGCAGAAACGTCTGGCAAAGCCCTTTGCCTTGTTTTAATCAGGCAATGTTCTAATGTCATTTATTATTTTATTAACGAGTTGTCAATGCTCTTCAACTATTCTGTATGTAATTCTCTTATCAGATACATAATTTGCAAATATTTTCTCCGATGCCATGGGTTATCGTTTTGCCTCATTTGTGGTGTCCTTTGAAGCACAAAAGGCTTGATTTTGATGGAGTCCAACTTATCTGTTTTCCTCTTTTGCTTGTGGTCTGACGCCATATCTCAGGAGGCTGTGCCTAACTCGAGGCTGCAGAGACTTCTATTTTCTTCTAACGGTTTTAAAGTTTTAGCTCTTACATTTAGGCTTTTGATACATTTTGAGTTAAGTTTTTGTGTGTATGATATGGTCTGATCTCATTCTTTTGCATGTGGATATTTGGTTGTCCCAGAATGATTTGTTTAAAAGACTATTCTTTGCCCCATTGAATGGCCTTGGCGCCCTGTGAAAACCAATCAACTAAATGTGAACTTGAGTTCTGGAGCCTGAACTCTGTCCCATTTATCCACATGTTTATTCTTATGCCAGCATGGGATCATTTTAATTACTGTAGGTGTGTGTTATGTTTTGAAATCAATCTAACTTTATTCTTTTCCAACTTTGCCGTGGACATTCTGGGTCTTTTGAATTTTCATATAAACTTTAGACCAGCTTGTTAATTTCTGCAAAGAAGTCAGCTGGGTTTGATGGGGATTACATTGACCTGTAGATCAGTTTGGGGGGGGTATCATCTTGTCCACATTATTAAGTCTCTTGATCTCGAGATGTCTTAACATTTGTTCAGATCTTAACTCTCTTTTCAACAATGGTTTTTCATGTTTAACTTTACAAATCTGTTTTCTCTCTATTCTTTTGATTGAGAAATTTCTACTATTCTGTCTTTAGGTTCACAAAAAAAATTTTTTTAATAGTTTCAAATCTGCTGTTAAACTCATCTGGTAAGTTTTTCATTCCAGAGATTGTATTTTTCTTTTTTTTATATATATATTTTATTTATTTCTGAGAGAGAGAGACAGCATGAAGGGGGGAGGGTCAGAGAGAGAGGGAGACACAGAATCTGAAACAGGGTCCAGGCTCTGAGCTGTCAGCACAGAGCCCGACGTGGGGCTCGAACCCACGAACCGTGAGATCATGACCTGAGCCAGTTGAACGCTTAACTGACTGAGCCGTCCAGGTGCCCCAAGAGATTGTACTTTTCTTATACTTTCTATTTTCGTGTGGAAACCCTCTGCTACTCATCAATTATGTCTACATTTTTTTCTTTAAATTATCAAACACGTGTTAGGAACTCTTTGAAAGTCTTCGCATGTTTATTCCACCATCTGCATTATATCTGACTTTGTTTCTATTGACTGCCTGTTTTCTTGATTTGGGCTCACATTTCTTGCTTTTTCAGATGGCTGGTCATTTTTTGTCATATGCTGACATGCGACGATCTGTTAGGAGTATGTCGATTCAAGAATTTAAATACTACGTGCATTGAACAAGTGTCTCAGCCGCGGTGCCCTGACTTTCTGAGTCAGCTGCTCCTGAGAAACTCCTCGTTGCCGTTGCTGAGCTGTGCACGGAGGCGGCAGGAGCTCCACAGAAAGGCGCCTGAGTTCAGGCAGTTCAGACGCTGCCTCAGAGTTTAAAATCTGGCTTTCAATCCCAACTGTTCCCGTAGCTAGCTGTCCCACCCTCGGCAAAGCACTTCATCTCTCTGTGCTTCCGCATCCCCGTGTAAGGGGGTTATATCTCAGTACCTGCTTCAGAGGATTCCTGATGTAATTAAATGACAACGCATGTAAAGCAGTTGGAGAGGTGCCTGGCATATGCTAAGGGCTCCGTAGACGTTAGTCTGCACTTAAAACAAAGTGAAATGGGGGCGGCTGGAGGGCTCAGCCGGTTACGCTTCCAGCTCTTGGTTTTGGCTCACATCATGACCTTGAGGTTGTGGGATCAGGCCCCACCTCAGGCTCCATGAGGAGGGTGGAGCCCGCTTGGGATTCTCTCTCTCTCTCTCTCTCTCTCTCTACTCCCCCTGTGGAAATAAATAAACATTTTTTAAAACCTTTGAAAAAGTGAAATGCTATCCCCCTAAAGACCAGTCTCCCGCTGCCCTGCACCTCCCCTGCACAGACCCCGTTCACAGACAGACGCCACTCGTGGACATGTAAGGTGCAGAGAAAACGGCCTGGCGGGAAACAGACGCTGCAGAATGTTCAGTACCAGCTATTACATACTATTATTATTTCTGCCCCTCTTGAGCCCAAGGGGGCACAGGGGCCTGGCCACACGGAGGCTTGTGGCCTTGACCCTGCCTAGGAGGGGGGAATTCAGCACAGGCACCCAAACCCAGTCACAGATGAAGACTCAGAAGGCCCTGTGCCTGGGACATATCTGAGGAAGCTGAGTCCCAGGGGGACCAGGGACTCACCAAGCGAGGCAGACCACAGGCTAGAGTCCACGTGTCCCAAAGAGAACTTTGTCTCGGGCACAACCAGGTTACGTGCCAGTTCCTTCTGGGTTTTGCAACAGAGCCTGATGAAGGACGCGCTTATTTCTATGCCGGCTTTGTGATCTGCCCTGACAGGGTTGTTCACACTGCCTGTTGCCAACTGGGTTAGAAGTGAGCTGGCTGGCTGTGCTGACCCCACCCAGCATGGCAGGAGCCAAGGTGCAGCTGGGACCAGCCCGGGAGGCTGAAGCCCCTTCCCACACCTGCTCCCTCCACCCCAGACGCCTGGCGGCTCCAGGGAGCGTGTCTTATACCACCCGTGTCCCCACCGTTCTGAGAGACTGTGGGTCCCCAGAAGAGCTCGGCCTGACCACAGTCCCCATGAGCTGACCTGTCCCCAGGGCCCTGGCACTCCCCGCTCTGGGCTGGCCCCTCCATGGCCCCGCTGTCGTGGGACACTTGTCCTCTGCCCCACGCGACACAGTCCACCCTTCCCTCCCTACAACCTTCTCCTTTCCTTTCTCTGTGACTCCAAGCCCAGCCTGGGTCTGATGACCCCAGTGACCTTGTATGCTTCTCTGTTGTTGACTGTCAATGCCATCATCTCTCAGCCTCCGAGGCAAGAACCAGGAGCTTGGCCCCTCTGCCCCATGTCCCCGCAGAGTCTGCACAGGTTGCTGCTAAACTGGTCGCCACAGTGGGAAAGAGGGTCCCCCTGGAGCCACCGGTCATGCGGAAGGAAGATACCAGCTCCAGGGATATGGGTTTAATTCAGGTTTTTAGTTCATGGTAGACAACTATGTCTAATAAAATAACACCCAGACTCTATGCTAAGTGGTCTGGGAGGGGCTCAGCCAGGGCAGCTCCAGAGGGTTCCTCCTGGAGGGCTTCCTGGAAGAGGAAGGGTCAGAAAAACAGTAGGCAGGGAAGCTTGTGGGCATCGCCAGGGGCTGGAGAGTAGAGACGGCACATCTCCCCGGCCATCCTGATCCTGGAGTAAGCCTGTTTGCCAGGCCTCCTCATCAGTTTAGAAACTGTGTCTCCAGAGGGGACATGAGGTCACCCAGGGGGTGAGGGACCTAAGCCTGGGGTTCTCACCAGCCATTGAACTGAGGACTTTCTGCCGCCACCCCCAGCCACATCTTTGCCCAGTCTGATCATTAACTCACCTCTCAGCCCTCAGCAGGAGAGCAGAAAGGGAAGGAAGCGGCCAGCCATGTCCTCCAGGACAGAGACCTGTCCTCTGCGGCTGGGTTGTCAACAGAGCACAGGCTTCCAAAGACCAGTGGGGGGGGGGGTGGCGCCGAGAGAAGCCGTGGGAGGTTTGGGGCTGGTACCCCAGACCCAAGCTGCTGGGTATCTGCAGGGGCCACTGGTCATGTGTTGCAAGAAACAGAGAACTTTAAGGAGCTGGAAACTGATGAAGGGCAGAATTTTCTTGAAGGAGTGCGCTGGCACTGATCTGCCCGCTCTGTGTGGTCTGCGGGCCACAGGCCCTCCGACTGGCTTCGGGTTCAGGGCCTCGCACAGCCCAGCCCGGTGTCTGCTGCTTCGCCCTGGCCCTGGGCCTGCAAATAGGATTTAACTTTTCCCCGTAACACCCAGCAGGGCTGTCGTCTGCAGGAGGGGTGAGGGACCCCTTCTTTCCGAGAAGCAGGCGCCCTGGTGCTAGAAGGCTCAGGCTGGAGTCCCGGGAAGGACGAGAGACGCGGTCCCGGCGCAGGCGCGGGGGCCGGGGCCTCACGGCACGTGGGCCGCATAGACCCACCAGCTGCGGGAGCGCCCTGGCCCGGAGCCGGCGTGGGCGCCCGGTTCCCATCCCTGCTCTGCCCCCCGCGGGCCTGGACCCTGCTGTGCCTCGGGCCGCAGAGCTGGTAAAAGCCCCGTCGCAGGGCTGCTGGCGGGGCCCCAGGAGCCGGGCGCACGCAGCGCCGGGCACGTTTGGTGCATTTACTGAAGAAAAGTTAAAAAGGCAAAACAGGACCAGAAATTAGCTCCCATGCAGTCTCAGGGGCCCAGGCCGGCTTGGGTGCGGGGCCCAGGGGCAGGAGATGGCAGGCCCCTCCCACCCACTTATGTAAGGCCCGAGCCAGGTGGGTCAGAGGTGTCGGGGCCACGCCTCCCCCACAGCCGCAGGGCGGCCTGGGGCGGGCCCCGCTGCCTCATTACCTGGAGCTGGGCACCGGCCGCCACACTCACGACGGCTTGGCCACGGCGCGCGGGGCCGCAGGCTCTGGACCCCCTGGGGCCCATGCTGCCGGGAGGTCTTCTGCCTGGAACCCGAGATCCTGAGAGAGCTGTGGGGGGCTGATCTTCGAGGTGAGACAGGCCGTGAGGGGCAAAGAGAAGCAAGGGGAGTGGGCCCCGTGAGGGGTGCAGGGGCCCGAGGAAGCAGGTCAGGCAGGCTGCGCGGCGGGTGTCGTCAGCAGCCGGGTACCTGGGGGGGTGCTGCTCCTCCCCCAGCCTGGCCCCTCAGGTTTGGGGAAGTGTGCCCCCCCCCCCACTGAAGACACTGCATGTCCGCGGGGCAGGCTGGCCCTGGGAGCCCCGGGCGGCGAGGACTCTGGGCTCAGCCTGGTTAGCCACGGTCCGGGGGTGAGATGGAGCCAGGGGTGAGACAGGCTGGGGGCAGAGACAGGGCCGGGGGCAGAGACGGGGCCGGGGGCAGAGACGGGGCCGGGGGCAGAGACGGGGGCCGGGGGCAGAGACGGGGGCCGGGGGCAGAGACGGAAGCCCACCGCGTCTGTGTTTTTCCCCCACGATCGGCTGTGTGGGCTCAGGAGGCGCCAGAGTCGAGTCGGGTGCCTGCCTGCCCGGCGAGCCCCGCCCGGCCCCCCCCAGCCGGGCCGCGGGCCCTGACGCGCCGTGTGTCTGTTGCAGGGCGGCCTCCCGGGGCCGATGAGCTCCCTGCCAGGCCTGCGCTGCCCTGGGTGAGCCCGAGGGGCCGCCGCCCCGTGGGGACCATGCCCGAGACCCTCCTGCTCAGGTCGGCCGGCTGCATCCTGAGGAGCGTGTAAGGAACCAGGGCCCCACCTCCTCCACACGGTGCTGGACCCCCAGTCACCCCACTAGGTCGCCCCCCGGTCGTGCCACAGCGTTGTCTTCTCCCGGCGCCCCTAAGGACCGTGACGGCCCCAGCAGCACGATGAGAGCAGATGTGCACAAAGCACTTTACAGGGTTCACACGTGCTCACGACGGCCACGGGGCTGACACGGAGCACCGGGGCTCAGAGAGGTGCGGCCGCTTGCCCACGGTCACACAGCTAGCGAGGTGAACTGAACCCAGGCAGGCCAATTCTGACGAACCTCAGTGCTACATTGTCTCAAGAAAGCATTTATTGAGCACCTATTGTGTACAGAACAGTGGCCTGGCTGCTAACGGCTGAAAGGGAAGACAGGCCAGCGAAATAGCCAGGAGATGAACCCCCATCCAGGAGGGGCTCCCCTGGGAAGGCCCTCTGGGCCTGTGTGTTTACCGACACAAGTGTGTGGGCCTTCTGGTCCGCACCCCTGTGTCCCAGGGCCCGCGGACAGGCATCTCAGGGGGCTTCCCAAGCCACGTGTGGCCTTCAAAGCCCAGCCCTGAGCCCAAAGGCTGTGAGAGAGAGAGTGTTGGGGATGTTCCCTGAGGGCTCCCTGAAGGAGGAGCTGAATGAGGCTCCGTTCCCATCAGCTCCTCTGGCAAGCGAGGAGGAGGCAGCTAGGAGACGGTTAGGAGAGGAGGGGCGCCCCCGGCCCCCGCCCGGGCCCCGCGTGCACGGTTCCTCCGACAGCCTTCTCGCTCCGGAGCCGCTGGGCGGGTGCTAAAGACCTTCGATTCCTGTGCGGGACGAGGAAGCAAGGGGCTTGTGGGCTGTGCGGGCAGCAGCGTAGTTTTCCAGAAGGCTGGGAACGCCGTGCTAACGACCTGCGTCTGGCCGTGGCGCTGATAGCGGCGCGTCCACCTGGCCTGCGGGTCCCCGAGCGGCTCCCGGCGCCCTGCTGCCCAGAGCACGGGAGTGTGTGTGAGGGGTCAGCGCAGCGGGGACGTGCCCCACGTCACGTGCCCCCCGGCGAGGATGACAAACCCCACTGTGGAGGCCGCGGCCCCAGCTCCCCGCAGGGCCCGAGAGAGCAGGAAGGCCACGCGGAGGCTGGGCTCCGTCGGTGAGCGAGGGTGACGTCCCCGGAAGGGGACCGGCTCTCGAAGGCTCCGGCGAGGGAAAGGGCACGCTTTTCCCGCTCGGGAAGGTGGACTTCAGCCTCCTCGTACTCAGGCCTCCGGGGTCCTTCAGGCACACGGCTTCGTGGTTGAGGAAGACCCTACTGCTCAACGTGGGCCACCCGCGGGATGAGTGAGGTGGCCCCGTCACGGCAAGCAGAGGGAGGCGGCCTGCTCCACCCTGTCCCCGAGGAGAGGACAGAGCAGGACCAGGGAGTGGACGCCAGGGACGGGTGGGCGCGCTGGGAGCCAGGCACGCGGGAAAGGGCCTCCGCGAGCGGAAGGCCCTAGTGGTGATGAGTACGCTGGCCTCCCGGCGCCCTTGGGTGGCTGTCTTTTCCCGTAGTCTGTGTTCAGCTGTCAGTTTACACAAATTACATTAGTGGGGGAAATGCTGCCCGTGACTTTGAGGACGCAGAGCCTCGTCTGCGAGGAGCGGCGGGCGCGGCCTCGGCTCGTCTGAGGGCCAGCTGCCCGCTGCTGCCTTCGAAGGCTGCCCCGCTGTAAGTGCCAGGCTTGCCCCGCGCTGGCCTCACTCGTCCTCCGGGCACGGCCGGGACAGCGTGGACGTGGCGCCAGGCTCACGGAGCCTGCGTGGGGCCGGGGGGCTGCCGGTGGGGGCCCCTCCTTCGGCCACGAGGTGTCTGCACCCAGAGCTCGGGGCTGTTTGTATCAGCGCAGTCCTGTCTGTCCCCATGTGGAGGCAGCGTCCCCTCTGGGACCCCAGAGTAATGGTGGTGACCGATGACCCAAAGTCAGCTGGAAAGTTCCGTGCACTCAGAACCCGCTGCCGGGTGCAGCCCCACCCCAGAAATTGTCATGCCCTTTCATCCCTCGGGGCCTTCCCTGGGACACTTGCTCACACACAACGTCCCCGAGAAGGGGGCCAGCTCCGCTCCCTTGTCCCCACCCCCCTCCCTTCACAAACTCCTGACGTCTTTTGATTTAAAACCTAGCAGGTTCTTAAGCAGACTGCCGCCTGGTTGGCCTGGGTGTGTTGGCAAATTTAGTTTGAACCTGCAGTACCAGCAAGGACTAAGGCCGAGTGTGACAAACAGGTAACTGGCCCAACAGCCTGGGGACTGGGTAGGGGTGGGACTAGCCCCACCCTGACAGGCAGATGGGACTCCTGGAGTCAGAGCCCTGCCTTCGGGGCTGCCATGACCAGTTGTGCAGGCTGCACACTGCACAACTCCAGTAGGTGCGGTTTGCACGGCCAAATGTCTGTGAAATATGTCCCTGGAGTTGTGTGGAGCTACATTTCTACCTGACTGAGGTGTGTACTGAACTCCATCTGCTCATCATCACCCAGGAGGCTGAGGTCTGGCCAGTTGAGCCCTGAGGAGGAGTGCTGCTGTAGGTTAATAGGTTGACAATGGAGCCCCTGTGACCCCTGGGGCTCTCTGGCTGGAAGGGAGATTCATTGTCCAGAGCAACCTTGCCTGGGAAGGGAGGAGGCTTTAGGCCACAGCTCTCTGGCCCACAGCCATCCTCTCCGCGGGGCGAAGGCCTAGGGCACCTCCGCAGGCCCACCCCCCGGGCCTGCATAGGACCCGGAACAGCCCTGCACCGTCCTCAGCTGCGCTCTGAGCTTCTAAGCGTAACTATTTTCAATGCCTGAGGCCCGGTGGGTGTGGGAGGGAGGAGGAGGGCCCTCACGCTCAGAATCCGTCCGGATGGGGACACTGAGTCCAGACAGAGCCTGCACTTGCGCAGGGCGGCCCAACAGATGAACGAACCCGCGGCGAGGCTGCGTGGGCCGAGGGTGGCCCTGCAGCTACTGAAGTCTTGTTCCCTGGCCCCCGTGGGGACGCAGAGCTGCCTGCGAGGCGTGGAGAGGCCAGCGGCACTGCCAGGGTGCCAACGTGGGCGGAGCGGGAAGCCGGGCCAGGCCCCGCGGGCCTCACGTTCTCTCCCCTCCCCTGCAGCTCTCCGGCTGATGGGCAGACACTCTCCAAAGAGTCCCTCAGCCATGCGCTCCCACTCCTGTCCCCGGAGGAGGCGAGGGACACCCAGCTGGATTGCTCAGGTGAGCAGGCGGGGAGGCTGCCGGCAGAGGCGAGGCGGGGAGCCACAGGATGGGGGGGCAGGGCAGGCGGAAATACCTCCACACCCTGGGGGGGCCCACCACACCCCTTTCCTTATGGCCACAGACCTGGCGGAGCCCCGGTCGCCTGGGGCGAGGCTGGTGGGTGGCAGCTGGTGGAGTGTGTTTGGAGGCTTGGAAAGCCACCCGCTTCACCCCCGTGTAATCGCGCTGTAAGGGAGGCAGTTACCCTGTACCACGAAGAGCCATCAGGACGTGGTAACACAGCTTGCTCGTTGCTGGGCTCGCAACGATAGTGTAGCAACAGCACAAGTTACAAATCGAAACAGTAAGTGCCTCGCACAGGGTTCCAGAACCATCTCCCGAGTTCTGCGCTGTCCTCGGGGTGGTCCACTGTTGCCGCCTGTCCGGTGTCACCTCTCTGGCGACAAAGAGCTGCCCCTGAAGGGCCGGGCTTCCCGCGTGTGAGTCCCCTGAGCCCCTCAGGGTGGCCAGGCCTGGTCCCCAGAGCAGCCCCTGGCCCCGGCGTTAGGCGGCGGCCTCCGTGGCGGGCGTGTCTTTGTAGAGCGACCTTCGGTCTGGGTCCACCTGGTGTCTTCCTCCGGGTTAGATGAGGTGGGTTGTGGGGAGCAGGCGGTAGTGTCTGAGGTGGCGTTTGGGCCCCTGGAACCAGGCAAGGGGTGGGAGGGGAGGCCTGGGGACCCTCCCCCAGATTTCCTCTGGCCCGGCTTTCCTGGGGGGACGACAGGCCTGCTGTGAGGACAGGGGCAAAGGTCACCATGCCATGATAAGAGACCTGAAGAGGCATAAGGAGGGCAGCTCCTCGGGCGCCCCGGGCGCCTGGCTCCCTGGGGAGCAAATGCCCGTCGCCTCCCCCACCCCTCCCGTGGGACTGTCATCACCCTGCCCCTCCCCCAGGCTGGACATCGTGGGCCCAAGGGGACCGGGCACTGCCGGGCGGGCCTCCTCAGCCCCCACGGGCCTGGCGTGTGGCTGGTGCTCTGCCAGCCTCCCCCCTGCAGCCCCTGCGTCTCTGGGGAGCAGCTGTGGTGACGTGCCTGGCCAGGTGCCTGCCTGCCGCGGGGCCTTCTCTCCACACTCCCTGGCAGTTCCAGGAGCCGGGCGCCCTGCTCCATGGGGGAGGGGGAAGGAGCCCTGGGGGGGGTAAGGGGCGGGGCTTGGAGGGCTATGAGGGGGAATAAACCCTCCCGCCCCGCCCCCACACAGCTGCCCCCCAAGAAGAGGGGCAGATGTGCACTGAACTTGTGCCACGGGCTGGGCTTTGTGCTGTGGGGTCACTTGTATTCTTCAGTTTATCTTCCAAGCAGCCCTGGGGCAGGCGCTGTAGTAGTGTCCCCATCGATGGAGGAAGCCAAGCTCAGAGAGGTTCCATGAGTTTCTCAGAGTAACACAGCTAGTAAGAAATAGAACTCACAACTGGCTGCTGGCTCTTTGGGCCTAGATGACAGTACTGTCCCCTCCCGGCCTGGCCACCCCCTGCCTCCCCTCCAGGTCGCTGCGGGGCTAGCAGCCCCCCTGGGAGTCTTGCCTTCAGGAACGAGCGCCTACCTGGGTCCCCTTGAGTTCCCAGAAGCCCGAAGGTCCTCACCCTCCTGCCCAGGCTGGGCTCTGAGCAGGAGGTGGGAGGCCGGGGAGGGGGCGGCGGGCGTGGGCCCCCTGAATCGGGCCACAGAGCTGCCAGAATCTGACCCTCACACGAAGGCAGCCTTGGGCCAGGACCTGGAGACACATTGTTCTCTAGCTCTTTCCAGCTGAGCATGATGAACCGCCAAATGTCTCCCCTGTGCAGAGCCAGACAGCCCTTCTCTTCTCCATCCCCTGTGCTCTGGAGCAGCAGCGTGGGCACCGGGAGGTGAGGCCTCTGACCAGGGAAGGCAGTCAGGGGCAGGGACAGGAGAGCCCTGTCTAAAATGTCCACCAAAAGTCCAAATGCTTTTTCCTTCTGATCCAGTGAACACTTCTAGAACTCGTTCTTTGGGGAGCCTAGAACAAAGGCGAAAGCTGCAGCTGTCTGAGTGTCTGGGGGAGGGAGGTCAGCTGAGATGTGTGCCACACCCTCCCACACGCCACCAGGGACTTACTGGGGTCATAGGACTAAGGGTGGGTGACTTGGTCCACACGGTGTTTTCTAGAAGTATGAGCCAACATTTACAACTCCCAGCCACTGGGTAAGCCTCGGTGTCCATTCCTGCTGGGCGGCAGCTCCCCAGCCATGGGTGGCTGCCCCTTCAGCTGGGCCCTGCCCCCCAGTCGCTGCCACCCTGTTCCTCCCTGGCCCAGAGGCCGGGTGGGGGGGGCAGGTGCCGTCCCTCGTGAACCCTGCACTGGCTGGGTCTTCACCAGGAACAGAGGAACAGAAAGAGGCTCTGGACAGCGAGCGAGACGGTGGTCTGTGGGGTTGCAGACTCCGCCCTGGGGGTTCCCAGGAGGGCCCGAGTTACTATTCCTTAGGACAACGACACAGGACCCACCTGCCCCCCCCCCCCCAGGAGTTTAGTGCCCTTAACAATCGTAGCAGGCCCTGCTTTGTCCTTCAGAGAAAAAACAGCATCACCAGCGACTAGAGAAAGTCTGACCCTCGTGCATGAGGCGTCCGGAGCCGTTACCTACGGGGTTGGGTTCGCGTGGCCCGCCCCGTTTATAGCACACGTTACTATGCTGTTTCCTGCTTCTTAGAACAAATATGCATTGTTCTGTGATTTATAAAAAAAAACTGTTAACACCTTTGGCCGAAGGAGGATTTAACAACAGATTATAAAGCCGACGGCTGATCTTGGCAACGGGGTGAACAGGTGAGCGCAGGAGCCCGCTGGGAGGATCCACCTTCTCTGGTTTTCGTGCCAGGACGCTGTGGGCCAAGGAGGGAAGAGGGCCGTCAGCCACCTGGGCCTCAGAGCTACTTCATGGAGGTAGAGCCGTGTGGCATCAGATTTACCCCCTTCGATGTGATACTTTTTAATGTTGTCTTTGAAAAAATTCATGTTTTCAATTATTTGGGGGTTTTTTGACAAATATTATTTTTTTGGTTTAAACTTATTTATTTATTTATTTAGAGGGTGAACACAAGTGGGGTAGGGGCAGAGAGAGAGATTCCCAAGCAGGCTCCTCAGTGCGGGCCCCTCGCCCTCCATGGGGCTCGATCTTCCAAACCGTGAGATCGTGACCTGAGCTGAAATCAAGACTCAGACGCTCAACCGACTGAGTCCCCCAGGCGCCCCTTTTCCAGTTATTTGCATTAGTTGCATCAACATCACCACCGTCCAATTTTAGACCTTTCCACCCCCCCCCAAACACTCCTCGTGTCCATCAGCAGTGACTTCAGCCCTTCCTGGATGGTTCCCCGTGGCCGTTTGCTTCTTTCCCTGAACGCGTCTTTGAGGCTCGGCCAGGTTGTACCTCCTGCCGTCGTAGGCTGCGTCGGGGTCCGTGGTGCGGAAGGGCCCTGTGAGCCTCTCCGTTCGCGGCTAATGCCCTTTGGCTGTTTGCATGTTTGCCTGTGACAGGTGATGTGTTCGCGCCGCATCTCTGCGGGACCTGTGCTTTCGTTTCTCTCGAGCAGAGCCGGATTCGTCTGGCAGATTCATGTTTAACTTGGTGAGAAACCACCATCTACGCTGCCACCGCCGCCATGCCAGGGTCTGGGTCCCCGGGGTCCTGGCCCAGCCTGCACACTCAGCAGGACCGAAATGGACTCTGGAGGAGAAGCACCTGCCACACAGCAGGGAAGGGCGGACCTGAACTTGACCCTGGGTCAGCTCTGCCCTACCTCACCTTGACCCTGACCTGTGCAAAGTGCAGGGTTAGATGTGCGGAGGGGCTAGAGAAGTCGGAGCAGGGACTGCAGGGGAGTGCCCCACCTAATGGTGCTGGGACCAGGCTGCAGGTGGCCTGGGGTGGGGGGACGCCGGCCGCACAAGTGTCGCTGAGTGTCCCACCAGCCACCACATGCACTCCGTGCTCCCGTCCTGCCTGAGGCCCCGACAGAAGGAGGAACCATATATCCTACCCTGGGGTCTTCACCTCTGTCTATAACCTCAGGTCCACGTGCAACCCATGAGACAAGGGCATCCCCCCCATAGGGTGGTTTACAGGTCGGTGTGCCACCTCAGAAGGGCATCGGCGGCTGGGTCCCCCATGTGGCCCCTCCCACAAGCCGTCTGCTCCAAGTGAGTGTCCTGACCCAGGGACAAAAGGGTCTAGAACCACCTGTCTAAGCCTCCTCAGAATTTGGAGAACGTGGAAAAGCCAAAGTGTGCATTTATTGAGCACCAACTATGTGCCTGGGTTCCTTCATATATGCCATTTCTTTTTTTTTTTTTTAATTTTTAATGTTTTCTTTATTTCTGAGAGAGAGACAGTGCGAGGAGGGGAGGATCAGAGAGAGAGGGAGATACAGAATCTGAAACAGGCTCCAGGCTCTGAGCTGGCAGTCAGCACATAGCCCAACGCAGGGCTTGAACCCATGCACCGTGAGATCATGACCTGGGCCGAAGTTGGACGCTCAACCAACTGAGCCACCCAGGCGCACCTACACCATTTCTTTTGATCATCCCTGAGAACTGAACCCTCACCTCTCCCCCGAGAAAACGGACGCAGAGGTTATGTGGTCTGCCCAGAGTCCACGTACTGAATGGCAGATCTGGTCCCACCCTCCACACAGACTGGGCCCCTGACCCTGAAAGGCTGGGTGCTGCCCCGAGTGCGAGCAGTGGCCTGCTCTGTGATCTCAGGAAAATGATGGCACCTCTCTGATCTGCCGCTGCCACTGCCCCAGGTCTGTCAAGGCCACCGACCTGTTGTGCAGACAGGATGAGGTCCCCACGGGAGGGACTCCACACAGTGCCTGGCACTGGGCAAGAGTGAGTGAAGGTTGCTGAGAGACAGTCCGGGCTCCTCCGGCCCCTTGGGACAGCTGCCATTCCTGTCCAGCTGGGTCTGTGCCGGGCCCACTCTCAGGAGGCGGAGGCGGGATCTTGGGAGCCAGCCCAGCCTGGGGCAAGTTCCAGCCTGCCTGCCCGGGAGCAGGCGTTAGGGGCCTTGGTGTCGCCGAGGCTACCGCCTCCTCGCTGCATCCCTAAGCCCTGTCCACCCTTCAGGGCGGTCAGACTGCTTCCTTCCTGTCTGCCAGCAGCCAAAGCAGTCTGGGGACCAAAGTCCTGGCCCAAGGGAGGCTCAGGGGCCAGGGGGTGATGCTGAGCCAGAGCGATCCCAGCTGTGGTGTCACCCCGCAGAGGAGCCGCTGTGGACGACCCGGAGGGACGGCCGCGTGCACCTGCGTGTCCACCCCACCTGCCCGCAGCGGCCCTACACCATTCACCAGATGTTCCGGAGCACCCTGGACAAGTACTGGAGCCTCAGCGCCCTGGGCGTCAAGCGCCAGGGCGTGTGGGAGGACATCTCTTACTCCCAGTACTACCTGCTCGCCCGGAGAGCCGCCAAGGGCTTCCTGAAGGTGAGGCCCCTCCCCAGACCTGCGCCAGCGCTGGGCCCTCCGGGGCCTCCTCCCCGACCCCCTCCTGGAAGCCTTTAGACACAGTAACTGCGGAGCCACTAACACTTTTTGGGCGGATGGGATGTCCCGGGCCCGTCCCGCGCGGGCCCTCAGCATTTGCTTTTCATTTGTGATCACGTTCGAGATGAGTGGGGCCGCGGGGTGTGCTGGGCGGGAAGGGCCCGGGGGGCGGGAAGGGCCCGGGGTGTCCTCTGACTGGGTGCAGCCTGCACACTGGAAGGGGCCCCACTGGGCGTGAGAGGCCCCCATCCGAACTGGCTGACCCGGCCTCTCTGCCTTGGTCCTGGAGCTCGGCCTGGAGCGCGCCCACAGCGTGGCCATCCTCGGCTTCAACTCCCCCGAGTGGTTCTTCTCGGCAGTGGGCACCGTATTTGCAGGGTGAGTGGCTGGGGGCGGGGCAGCCTCTGGCGGGTCGGCGGGCAGAGAGTGGAAGGAGGGTTGTTTCTTCTTTTCAGAGGCCCCCGCGACCCCCCCACCAGTTTCCCCTCTCTCCCTGTGCGCGCCCCCCGCCCACCGTCGGGGCCTCCAGGGCAGGGGCTGGGCCAAGGGCGTGGCCTCTGCACAGCTCAGACAGGACGCCTCCTGGGTCTCCTACAGTGGCATCATCACCGGCATCTACACCACCAGCTCCCCGGAAGCCTGTCAGTACATCGCCCATGACTGCCAAGCCAACATCATTGTGGTCGACACACAGAAGCAGCTGGAAAAGATCCTGAAGGTTTGGGGGAGTGCGGAAGTGGGCTGGGGGCCAGAAGCCAGGTGTCCCTGTAGACCTCCAGCTTACAAAGGGCGTTTCCCACCCCTCCCTCCTGGGGCCCCCCCATCCTCCACAGCAACCCACGTCACACATATACACACTACAAGGCCGGGCAGCCGGTACCTACCCACTCGCCAGGTCGGGACACTGAGGCCCAGAGTTAGGAAAGGTCCACCCCAGGTCACTATTCACAGTAACGTTCGCATCGTGCAAGCTTCCAAGCAGACCAGACTGCAGGCTGCGACCGGCACTCCTGAGCGGGTCCCGGACGTCCTGCTTCTACCGCTCAGTTTGCCTTTCTTGCTGAAGGTTTTGAAGCAAATCTCTGACGGGACCTCATGTCACGCCCTGAGCGTTTCCATACGCTCGTCCTCTTCCCGAGAACGCGGCGTGTCCCCTCCATAATCACGGTGACTTCGTCAGTCTATTTGCCACGAGTAAAACCATTCTTCCTCATCAGCCACCAACCGTTTTGACATCAGGTTGCTTGGAATCGGGGCATAAACCGGCCCCAGGCTCTGTGTGGCCACGTCCCTGTCTTTAATTCGGAACAACGCCCTCGCCGGCCGCACAGCAGCGTCCTTACCTGGGAACCTATTAGAAACGCGAACCCTGAGGCCTCACCCCGGACCCACTGCATCTGACGCGGGGCCACGTGGGGGGACCTCAGCCGTCAGCCTGTGCCGGGAGCCGGGCCAGCTTTCGGGGTATCTGCCCCTCCTCTCCCCGAACTTCTGTGCTGCTGGGAGATGGAGCGGCTCGGCGGGGTCAGAGGAAACGCCGGGGGCCGACTGGGTACTGCAGGAGCTGGGGGGCACCAGGCGGCACCGCTCGCGGGGCGCCGTCACTGTGTCCGTGGGGGGAGGGGAGGGGGCCCTGCTGGTCCACCGTGACGGCCCGCAGCCCGTCTCCGCTGCTGGTCACCACCGAGGGGAGGCCGAGCGTTGGTTTTCTGATTCGTCAGTTGGGCCTTCTCCCCGGGGAGCAGTCGTGCCTCGCTCCCGGTCGCCCCGCCGCGCGCGCCCCGGCCCCGTCCGCGCGGCGCGCGCAGGCGCTCTGTCTTGGTGACGCTCCGCGCATGCCTGAAAGGAGGCGTGTGCTGCGGCTGTCGCGCATGCGCCCTAGAGATGTTACCGTCCGCGTCGTTCGTGGCCTCGTCGTCTGTATCCTTGGTGGTTTTCTATTTGTTCCATCGAAGACCGAGACGGGGAGCCGTCACTGAACCCCAGTTATGGCCGGATTTGTCCATTTCTGCTGTCAGTTCTTGCTTCGGGTATTTTGAAGTTCTGTCATACGTACGTGTGTAGAGTCACGTGTCCCCCGATTCAGTCAGTCGCCCCTTGGACCCTAAGAAACGTTCTAGAAGGAGCGGTGACAGTCCCTGCCCCAGCCCTGCTGTCTGTCGTTGCTGGAGCCACCCCGGGATTCTTACGGTGGACGTCCGCACGGCTTGTGTTGCTGCGCTGCTTTACCTTTAAGCGGCGTGCGTCCCGCTCTAGAGCGCGCCCCCTGTGGACCGCGTGGACGCGGGCCTGGCCGGTCGGCCCCCCCTGACAGCCGCGCCGGCGGCCCTTCCTGCAGGCCCTGTGCTTTGCCCTTCTCTCCTCTCCCCGGAGCCCTTTCGGATTCAGTTTTTATTTTTATTTTATCTCGTTTCTTGGTGTCCCACGTTCCCTCCAGCGGCTTATTAGCGCCCCTCTTTGTCACTGCACTAGTGTCTGCGCCAGGGTTTACCTCCGCGTTTTTAAGTCCGCAGTCTATACTTTATTACGCGACTTCTGCTGCTCTGAGGAGTCGAGCTGCGCACGGCCATGCCGCTTCCCTGGGAGGCAGGAGTCTTGCGACAGCCGCCTTCCTCCACCCCGTCCGTTGTCTGCAGTGTACTTCGGAACGTTATAAACCCCATGGTATGCTGTTTCCAACAGCAGAGACTTTTTTTAATTGTTTATTTTTGAGAGAGAGAGCGAGCGAGCGAGCCGGGGAGGGGCAGAGAGGGAGGGAGACACAGAATCTGAAGCAGCTCCAGGCTCCGAGCTGTCAGCACAGAGCCCGACACGGGGCTCGAACCCACGAACCTTGAGACCGTGACCTGAGCCGAAGTCAGTCGCTTCACCAACTGAGCCCCCCAAAGACATTTTGAAAGAAGGAAAAGTGTTTTTCATGTTTACCCACGTTTGCAGCCTGACACCATTCCTTAACGTGGATAAGAGTTTGCATCTGGTATCATCTGCCTTAAGAGTTTTCTGCTGGGTACCTGAGTGGCTCAGATCGTTGAGCACCTGACTCTGGATCTCAGCTCAGGTCATGATCCCAGGGTCGGGGAGTTCAGGCCCCATGCTAGGCAAGAAGCCTACAAAAAAAAAAAAAAAGAAGAATTTTCTTGTAACACAGATTCAATGGTAACACATTCTCTCGGCTTCTCTTTGTCTGCAAGCACGTTTATTTCCCTTTATTCTTCCATTTATTCGAAAGATATTTTCATGTGGTTTTAAGTTCTGTGTTGACAGGGTTTTTTTCTTTTTTCAGCCTTTTAAAGATTCCATTCCAGTGTTTTTAACTTTACATAGTTTCTGATGAGGAGTCTATTATTTCATATCTTTGTTCTTGTCCATATATTTGGGTAGCTTGTTTATCTGGCTGCTTCTATTTATTGATATTTTTTGGCTTCTTGTTTTTATTTTGATCCCAGCATAGCTAACACAGGTGTACAAGATAGTGATTCATCCCCTCCCTGCCCTGGTGCCCACCTGGACAGGTGTGCTTCTTAATCCCTCTCACCTGCTTCCCCATCCCCCACGCCTCCCTCACAGCAACTGCCAGTGAGTTCTCTGTAGTTGAGAGTCTGTTTCTTGGTTTGTCTCTCTCTCTTCTCCCCTTTGCTTATTTTTTCTGTTTCTTTAATTACACATAAGTGAAATCGTATGATATTTGTCTTTCTTTGGTTTATTTTGCTTAGAATAATACTCTCTAGCTCCATCCATGTTGTTGCAAATGACAAGAATTCATTCTTTTTTTCCTTAAGTTTGTTTATTTGTTTTGAGAGAGAGTGTGTGTGACCAGGGGAGGGGCAGAGAGAAAGGGAATCCCAAGCAGGTTCCGCACTGTCAGCCCAGAGCCTGTCTCAGGGCTTGAACTCACGAACCATGAGATCATGACCTGAGCCAAGATCAAGAGTTAGATGCTTAACTGACTGACTCACCCAGGCACCCCAAGATTTCATTCTTTTGGATTGCTGAGTAATACTCCATTGTATATATAAACTACATCTTCTTACTCCTTTCATCCATTTTTGGACATGTGGGCTCTTTCCATACTTTGGCTGCTGTCAATAGCGCTGCTATAGACATTGGGGTACGTGTGCTGGTGGGTCATTGGGTAGTTCTTATTTTAACTTTTTTAGGAACCTCCACACTGTTTTCCGGAACCGCTGACCAGTCCGCATTCCCACCAGCCGTGCAAGAGGGTTCCCATTTCTTCTTCAGCTGCTTTTAAGATTTTTCTCTTCCTCACTGGCGGTCAGCAGTGTGATTATGTTGCGTCGTGCTGTGTTTTTTTCCTTTGTGTCTGTCCTGCGTGAGACTCACTGCGAGTCTTGAACTGGTAGATTTATAATCAAATTCAGCAATTTCTCAGACTGCTTTTCAATTTTCGAAAGAAATTTCCTGGGATTCCGACTACACTCCAGGGCATCTTGATGATATTCTCCTACAGTCATGTGTTTCCAGGTTTTCTCTCCCTGAACTTTACTTTGAGACTCGTGTTTGGCCTTTCGGGGCAGGTTTACATGTCTTCGCTCTCAGGCTGGGTTAGCTCCAGCGCCCAGCTCTGACCTTTACAGTCTCCACTCCGCACCGCAAGGGCCCTTCGTCCTGCTGACTGTGCATGGATGGTTCTGGCCCCTGTGATCTCCATGGCCTCCAGCTTCATGGTGCTTCACTCTGCCATGCACACTGGCTCAGCCAAGAACTCGGGAGGACAGGGCCCCTGACAACAGATTTCTAGAACTCTCTCTTCCTGGTGTCTCCTCACTCATGTCCAGTCCCCTGGCCTTCTGGAACTCTGAGCTCTGTCACCCAACTTAGCGAGACAACTAAGTTCTGTTCTCCCTCTGTCCCTCTCTCTGTCCCCTGCTCTGTCCCCCCTCTGCCCTCTGCTCTGTCCACCACTCTGTCCCTTCTCCCCCCACTCTGTTTCCCCCATCTGCCTCCAATCTGTCCCCTCCCTCTGCCCCTTCCCTCTCTCTGTCTCCTCTGTCCCTCCCCCACCCCTCTCTCTCCCCCCAGTCTGTCCCCTCTCTCTGTCCCCCCCCTCCCCTCTGTCCTTCCCCATCCCTCTCTGTTGTGGGATGAACTATACTTCATTCAACCAGCCCCTGAGGTGCTTGGTTCTCTCCTGAGGGGACAGCTATGTACAAAGGGTGGCCAGTGTCCCAGTGGGTCACAGGTCAGGGCCTGGGAACCCAGCGACCAAAGCACCTGCCAGGCAGACCAGCACCTGGGGCCCTTCTCAGCAGGTAATGAAACCCCATTATGTGTCCTGTCCACACAGATCTGGAAAAATCTGCCACATCTGAAGTCCATAGTGACATACGGAGAAGCCCCTCCAAGGAAGATGGCCGATGTATACACGGTATGGGTGGAGGGCCCAGGGACAGGGGGCACCCAGCCAGCCACCCCACTGACTGAGTGCCCGCTCTCCCTGCCCTGCTGCAGATGGAGGAACTCATGGGGCTGGGGGATGAGCTGCCAGACGAGACCTTGGACGCCATCATCAGTGCCCAGCAGCCCAATCAGTGCTGCGTGCTGATCTACACCTCGGGCACCACCGGGAGCCCCAAGGGCGTGATGCTGAGTCAGGACAACGTAAGGCGGGTCCCAGATGGGTGGGCTTGGCTGCAGGTGGACGGGGCGGTGGGCCTGCCCTGTTAGCCCTCAGCTCAGGGGCCCAGGACCCGTAGGGCAGCCCGTGGATCTGCGGCCCACACGGAGCCCAGCGAAGGCGAGGAGGGCAGGGGCCTGTTCTGCGAGCTCCCACAGACATGCTGGGCAGGTGTCCCTGAAGTAGCCCAAGCCCCAGGGTGACACCGCCGGGGTCATCCCCCGTCCCCAGGTCACGTGGACGGTGCGACACAGCAGCCAGGTCAGCAGCATCCAGATGGCCGAAGTCCAGCAGGAGGTGGTGGTCAGCTACCTGCCCCTCAGCCACATCGCTGCACAGTTCTACGACTTGTGGACCAGCATCCAGTGGGGGGCGAAGGTCTGCTTTGCCGACCCTGACGCCCTAAAGGTCAGTCTCCTCTGCTGTGCCGCGTCCCCAAGCGCCTGGCCAACACAGCCTGCCTGGCCAACCAGAGGGACTGACCGATGATGTTACAGAGGAGAGGGGCCAGAGTGGCTCGGCAGGCCCACGTGCCATTGAGGACAGGCCACAGCCGGCCACAGCCCTGCTGCGCAGTCCTGTAAACTACTCCCATGCAGTGAAAACTCATGTAACTGTGAGGAGCCACGCCTCTGCCCACAGCTCACTGGCCCAAGTGGCGTCCCTTGTGGCTCCTAAACTGGTTACTGCTTAGCAGGTCTGATGGTGACGTCTGGGTTAGAGGGTAGAGTTGCTGCCCCAGGGCTGGGAGGGGACCCGGAAGCTTTGAGGCCATGTGAACAGTGGGGATTGCAGCCTGACTGCACAGGGCAGGCTGTGTGCAGATGTGTGTGTCCCCGTATGGGCGCCCGTGTGCGGCCTGTGTGCAGGATGCCTCGGGGGGGGGGGGGGGGGGGGGGGGGGGCGTGGGTGTGGACTCAGGCACGAGAGGTGCCTGGCTCTGAGCTGCGGGCCTTCCTCTCTGGCGGTGGACAGGGGAGCCTGGTGAACACGCTGCAGGAGGTGGAGCCCACGTCCCACTTGGGGGTGCCTCGGGTGTGGGAGAAGATCAAGGAGCGCATCCAGGAGGTGGCGGCTCAGTCGGGATTCATCCGGCGCAAGATGCTGCTCTGGGCCATGTCGGTGACCCTGGAGCAGAACCTGACGTGCCCCAGCAGGTACTGTGAGGGCCGGGGACGGGGGACGGGAGGCTGGGGACGGGACAGGATGGGAGGCCGGGGACGGGAGGCCGGGGACGGGACATGGGAGGCCGGGGACGGGACAGGAGGCCGGGGACGGGGGATGGGAGGCCGGGCGGGGGCTGGGTGGGGGCATAATCCTACCCGGCAGCTGAGGACAGGACAGGCTGGGCTCGTCCTTGGGGTTCCCTGTGCAGAGGCCCCAGCAGGTGCTGGGCTTGAGACCTCAATCACTGTGTCTCTTGGTTCTGAGTGGGGGACTGACTTCCTCCATCTGGGGTGGCCGTCACCTCCCCAGGAGCGGCTCCTGAGTCTCTGGGGGTTTCCTGACCTCAGTAGGTGGCGGAGGAAGGGGTCACAGTGACAAGGGCTTTTCCAGCCTCCAAGTGACCCTTCGGAGGTCACCCCACTGCCTCTGACGGCTTTTCACATTCCCGCAAGTGCTGTGGGAGGATCGGTGGCATAAACCTGGCCTGTCCGGCTTTAGAAGTCTTTTCCATTACTAGTGAGTCTGTAAAACAGTGTCATGTCTCGTGAGACATACACATGTGTGTACAAATCTGGCTTCATTTGCACAGACACAGGGTGAACACGCATGAACAGCTCCTTTGTGGGCTTCAGACGGGTCAGACATATCTGTGCTTGCGTGTCCACGCACATGCACTTGGAGCCTCTGCACGCCTGTTTCCTGTGTGCTGGTGCACGTGCGCCTGGACACAGCTGACCCCGGCTGACCTCCGGGCTCAGGACGTGTCACGCCCACTTGTGCCTGCGCGTTCACAGGCGGCCAGGCCGGTGTGCGCCCACCAGATACCCACCTTTTCACGTGGTTCCCTTTGTGGGCTGTTCCCTCTCCGCCACCAGTGACCTGAAGCCCTTCACGGCCAGGCTGGCAGACTACCTGGTGTTGGCCAAGGTCCGCCAGGCGCTGGGCTTCACCAGGTGCCGGAAGAACTTCTACGGAGCCGCCCCCATGAGCATAGAGACACAGCACTTCTTCCTGGGCCTCAACATCCGCTTGTATGCAGCCTACGGCCTCAGCGAGACCTCGGGGCCCCACTTCATGTCCGGCCCTGACAACTACCGGCTCAACAGGTACATGCACGCCTCCAATAGGGAGGGGTGTGTGGGAGGGGGGCCCCTGCAGCTGACAGCCACTGGGACAGAGCCAGCCGCTGGGGAGGGGCGAGCGGAGGGTCACCTGCTGTGCCTCAAGACCTGCCCTGCCTGCTGGCTGTCACAGGGCTTGAACTTGAGCGTTTGGACTCCATTTGTTCGTTCGTTCACCCTAAAGCCTCCTGTTGCGCCCCCTCAGCTCCAAGTCCCATGTTAAAATACACAAACCCTGGGGCGCCTCTGGCTGCTGGCCACGAACGAGGGGCTGGAGAGCCCTGGGGCTCCCAGGTGAGGCCTGACCCTGGGCTGAGGCGCCTGCTCCCCCGAACTTCCCCCAGCTGCGGCATACTGGTGCCTGGCTGCCTGGTGAAGCTGGTGAACAAGGACGCAGAGGGCGTCGGCGAGATCTGCCTGTGGGGCCGCAACATCTTCATGGGCTATCTGAACATGGAGGACAAGACGCGCGAGGCCATCGACGCCGATGGCTGGCTGCACACGGGCGACCTGGGGCGGCTGGGCGAGGATGGCTTCCTCTACATCATGGGGCGCCTCAAAGGTGAGCCTGGGTCCAGAGAGCCTGGCGTGGGGGGTGCACTGCCTCCACTGTTTGTACTCCGAGTACTGAGCCCAGATTAAGTTCCTGCACTTGGACTGACATCGTTTTATTTACCCTGACTTACTAATGACAGCACCCAGAGAACCTAAGGAACTTTCCCAGGGTCACCCAGCTAGTAAATGGTGGAGCTGGGATTCAGACTCCTTAAAGAAACAAGGCAAGTCTTTCCGGAAGATTCTGGGGGTATAAATATCATATTTTTATATGCAAACAGGGATGATACCAAGAAGAACATAGATTGGATATAAAATTTAAAATAAAACATGAGATCTCAAAGAAATTTCCCAAAGAAACAGGGCCATCCCAGGGAGGTGAGTTGAGGACTTCTGTGGAAAAGATGCTTTGCCCACTTGGCCCAAGGGCATGTGATACCCAAACACATCCCCGCAGGAACCCCCACAGTTTCCTGGAGAATCCAGCTCCATGAGTGGATCTCTCAAGGCGGGGTGCCATCGGGCTGGGCTCTGCGGGCCGTGTGGGGGTGGCTCAGGTGGAGTTGGGGCGCCCAGGCTGGGAGATCCCTGCACAGCCCTCCTGCTGTGGCAGGGCGGGGCTGACAGCGCCCTCTAGGGCTGAGCTTGGTGACAGCGGGGGGGGGGGGGGGGG